CATAGACCAGTTAGAGCGCCGCGTAGACCAGTTAGACCAGGCCATTCACCATCTTGTCCTAATGCAAACGTGATTGGCGTGATGAACCGTTGACCGCGTGTTTGAGGAGGAAGAACAGAGTGGTGAAGACGTCCGAGCAGAGAAAGCAGCAGCAGCACTGAAACACAGCGGCAGCGACGAGCTGCTGTGCTGAGCAGTGACTCTGACCTCTTTGGCGAGGTTAACCGCAAGGTAATTGAAAACTGGGCTGTACATGTGACCGCTGTTTATTCGGTTCACAGCCCATTTATCTGCAGGTTGAGCTGATATTACTGAAGAAGGGCTGACTGGGCTCTTTGTACACCTTGAAGTTGTGCTGCAGTGCACAAGTTTGAAGCCTCTTGACTGTCTGTGTAGTTGCCAGCAGACTGCATATGTGGTCAGGGCTTAACGAGAGCTGTAGAATGAAACCAGAGGTATTAGCAGAGAAGCGTGGCGCTCATGGAAAGCACTGTGCCACAGCAGTAATTATGCTAGAAAGTAGAACTTTCAAGGAAAACGTTTTTTAAGCACAGCAGGCAAACCAGCGTTTGTGTTTTTATCCTCGGTGATTCTGTGCATGAAGGTTTAATCCCCACGTGACCGATGACATTCAAATGCTTTAAAGAGAGCTGCTCCAGTACCTGCTCAAGGCCCTTTGAAGGTGGCTGCTGATGGATGAGTTTTGATTCTACAGTATAAGGACTTAACTCACCAAGAAAAGAAAAGCTTCACTTTTTCCATCAGCTTTTCGTGCACGCTTAGTAAGTCAATGGATCTTATTGGAAACTCAGTTTCCCCTTTACTGTTACACTGTACTGTACTGCTACTGACAAAGCACAAACTATTCCAGCGTGCTGCTGTCGTGTGGTGATACAGTGGTCAGCACGTTAGCTCCACTCCAGGAGGCTCCTGTGGGGATTCTAAATTGGAAAATTGACCACAAAGTTGTTAAATAAATATCTGTTTATTTCTATGATACTTTGCTAGGAGTAAAGTAGGTGTTGGGTGGCTGGACTAGAGCTATTCTGCTTGAGTATCTTCTAAGTTTTTGCCATAAAGCTGAACAAGGAGCCTCTCTGGGCTTGATTGGCCCAGGGGTCTCGTGAAGCAGAAAATTGGTATTGAATTCCCAAAAGGGCTGTGGCACTGGCAGTTGCTGAAGAAAAATAGAGTCTGAGCACAGTTAAGGGAGGCCATGGAGGACTACTTTGGGCAGCCCACAAAGACGTTCTGCCAAGCTGCCCTGGAAGGACTCGACACAG